TTGCATTGCTGCCCCTGGTCTTTGCCTCACTTCCCATTGAAATGTCCCCAAAGACAAGATGATTTTCTAATGTAAGTGCCTTTTGTAAATGAGAAATTGTCTTGCCCTTTCAAGAACGAAATTCATGCCCTGCTTGTGTGTGAGACTATTGCACTTACATGTAGCTGGAACCTTTGCCTTCTACTTTGTAATGTTGTCACTTCAGACATGCACGGTCAACACCAATAAATGTTCTTTCAACTCTTCAGTAAGTGTTTTCTGTGCAAGTCACAGTTGGACAAAAACATGTCTTGCATTGAAGTACATATACATACATGTACATGGTATACTGTATGTACATGTATTAACAAGGGTCTGATGAAACAAAATATAAGAAAAAGATTGTGAGTACTTCATATGCCAGTACTTTTACATTACTAGGTTGGGGATACAAAAAATGGAGGTACCGGTATACTCCAAACATTACATAACATTCTCTGAGTGTATCCAATACCATGGTGTTTTGAGTCAGTTTCTCCTTTTTTTAATCAGTGTACATGTACCAACTACATGTACATTTACATTTAGCTCATGGGCACTTTTATCAAAGTGCAGATCTGCTTTATAAGTCTGATAATACATACTGTTGAACAGTGGCATAGCCACGGGGGAGGGGTGCCCTCCCACAAATTCCTGGTGCCCCCCCCAGGTGCTCCCCACTAAAACAAAATGGATGAATGGTTATTGAACAAGGCTAACAAAAGCTTGCCTTCAAAACCCTGACCACTGAAAGTTGGTGCCCCCCCATAAGATGCTGATGCCCCCATTGTTCCCCCCTCCCACTAGTAAAATCCTAGCTTCTCCACTGCCGTTGAAGTGCTTGAATGTACATGTGTACATGTATGCCATACTGTGGAACTGCCCAAATCCACTCGGTATTTGGGTGGAAATTTTTAAGAAAGGTGCATACAGTATATTTGGTCAAGTGCACTGCGTGGGTCGATGTGCATAGAAAGTTACATGTAAGATTTTAAAAAAGAGTGTACCATTCGTTTCCTGCATAATGAATTATTTTGGAGAATTCAGGCATACATGTATTCCTGGAAAAAATTCAGGTCTGTGAAAGTGAAAGCAGTTAGGGCTATGAAACACTTCATTTGCCTGCAGCTGACATTGCCATTAAGGTCCTGTGAGTTGTGAACATCACGGTTTGCATATCACCTGCACATATACCAATTTATTGGGTTGTTAACAAAGAAAATGTCTTGTATGGTTCAGGTACATGTACATGCATGTGTACGGTAAGGAATGCAATTGAAGCAAACTTTTGGCAACGGATCAATTTATTTTTTTTTTCATTCACATGCTCTTAAGGCACATGCATACATGCACTTAGTCAGTTTACCATAAATCCTGGTCAGGAGGCAATACTTTACACCCTAATTTCCAGTTTGTACAAATCAAGCACTTGCAGCTTTTAGAAATGTGTAAACTTGGATTTGTCATCTGAGATGATGAACAGTATTCACGAACACCTGTACATGTATGATTATTGCTCAAGCCTGTATACCGGGACATGTATCTGTGACCTTATGGCCCTGTAGCAACATCTGTAGTGTAATGTTCAGGGAAATGACTGCTCAAAAGTAATGTCCTTTCACATTCCTGGAACATACCGCTGAAACCCGCATGTGGCATCTTCAGTACCACAAGGGAAAAAAAATAAATAGCCCTCCATGATAAAGACACTTGCCAACAGATCACAGCATTGATATACATGTGATGCATCCTTCCCCTGACGTTGGTGTACATGTACATGTGCAACCTGTCATATTTGTTGCCTGTGGCACAGGGGAGGTTAACTGAATGGGGGGAGGGCATTTGCTGTGTCTTCAACCTCAAAGAGCCAGGGTTTTTTGGCCTTGTCACAGGGGGGAAGCAGAATCGTCCCCCCCCCTAGATCTCGGCCATACGATGATGTATTTCAATGAAATTTGGCAGTGTCATAGAGGCACATAGAGGCTAAAAATGCAAATTTTACATATTTCTTGAACTGAGTATGATGTCCTTTAAAGCAACCTCATTATCAAGTTATCTCAAGTCTAGAAGTTGCTGTCTTAAAGTTTCTTTTCTCTGGTGTTTCAGCACATACATGATGTACAATTTGTACATGTAACATTTCTCCCCACAAATGTTTTTAAGGTGAGCTTAGTTTGGTTTCCAATATGAACGGAATCCCCTTAAATTGAACTTATCCTCTGCCAGTGGTGCAGTGCAACAGTGTCCTATTGTTTGTCAAGCAAAGCTTAGAGAAAGGTTTGATGCCCGAAAAGTCTACTTTTATATACGTGTAGGTGCTGGATCAGTCGGAACGAAATGTCAAATAGTATGCATTTAAGAGGGAAAGTAGTTTAACAAAAAAACAGGCATGTTCTGAGGTTAAATTCATATTATTGGTCTTTTTAATTATACCTTGAAACATGGCAAGCAAAAATTAGCCGTTTTGAAGCTAGAAACACAGGTGCATGCATGGGTACCGCAGATGCTCTCTATATGCAGCTCAGTATACATGGATGTAGCATCGGAGGTGGACGTATAGTTTATATTGCTTCTCACTCGGTAATCATCCTTATACCCTACATAGGTTCACCCACTGTCTCCCTTTGATGTTCAGATGGATGGTTATGGTCATGACAGACTGCATCCTACTCTTTGTGCGCAGTTGTGATTTGCTGGCCACTGTGATTTCAGCAGTCACTGTAACGAGTGTGGCATCCACACAAGATGAGATTGCAATCGTGCATACAAGCTACAAGTACATGTACATGTTGCCAGTCATAATTCAACAGTGTTTTGAATTCAGGATTGATACTTAGGCATATCAAATAAGGGGTTGAGAAAATTGAATTCAGAACAATGTTCTTGATCCAACAGGTGCTCAAATGTCTACTCTAACCATAAAAGCATTTAAGGAATAATTTTACAGTTCCTGAAAGTGATATAAAGCACTTTTTGTGGTTACATTTACATGTGTATGTACATGGATTTTGTTTTGCTGAGATCTTTCAGGGAGATGTGTACAATGTATGAAGCACGTGTACATGCACCGTATGATGAATGCGGATCATTTGTAGCTTGACTGCACATTTTTATTTAAACTTGATGTATTTTGAATAACATTAATTCCATCATTTGTAACAGTTTCCTTCCTTTGTTTTGATCTTCTAGGGCGACTATGATAATCCAAAAGTCAACGCAATTGTAATTTACAAAGGACCATTGGATGGTGAGTACTCATACCTCTGGAAAGCTTGCATTTCCCCTCAATTTTAGAAATCTGCACACTTTTTCACCAACTTCATGTTCTGCTCGTTTTTGTGTGCATGGATTCAAGCCATGGAAAGTTTGAATTTCACTATTGTACATAAAACTGTAGGAATGAATTCAAAGTTAACGGCATGCACGTCATCATTGGGTCAGCCATTGTTGGCATCATTTTCATAAGTGTATTCTTTTTGGATGCCCTTCACACTTTTCCCTACTTCAGTGAGCAGTCATTGAAAAATGATCATTTATTACCATCGTTAAGGTTTTCCAAGAGCCTACATGTACATTACCCCTTCCCCCACCCCACCCCCACCGTGTGTGGTTTATAAGCTCTTGAAAATGGTGACAAATATCCACTTCTGTCAGTTTCTGATGCTAGAAGTTAAGGAGGAACACTGCAAACAACCCCTAATAATTAATGCAAAACAACAGAGAATAATGCTCTGTGTATTTTCCATTGTGGCCTGGCATTGTTCACGAATTCTCCTTGTATTGCAAATGTATTTATGTAAATTCATTATAAATCCTTGCATTATAAATGTGAATTCATTGTAAATCCTTGCATTATGAATGCAATTGCAAATGCATCAGAAATCCTTGTGTTATAAATGTAGATGCGAATTTATTATAAATCCTTGTATGACAAATGTAGATGCAAATTTATTATAAATCCTTGTATGACAAATGTAGATGCAAATTTATTATAAATCCTGGTATTATCAAACAAAGGAGAGTAAAGCTCTGCACATGCTTATTCTCATTGTTTCCAGCAAGTGGTTGAAATAAGATAAGTTTAATATACCCTTATCCTTATAATATGTATAAAAAATGAAAGAGAGTGAAGCTTTCTGCTATTCCTATTGTTTCCAGTAATTTGGTTGAAATGTCATCTGTACTTAGGTGTTTGTGTTGTATACATGTAATATTTTAGTGAACACGTTAAGCATCATGCAACTTTTCTGTGCGTTACTCTGCAGATGTGCCTAAGCTACCACCTTTGCCAGGCGCTGACCTTGATGAGGACGAATCAGATGACAGCGACGATGATGAAACCGAAGAGGTCAAACCGAAGCGGCACATCACATCGGGGCCCAAGACCCCCGACCCTTACGCCGCTGATGAAAGCAGCTTTCTATATCCAATTCTCATAGCCCTAGCAATTTTTATCCCCACACTATTTTGCCTCTGTAGACTTTAACATTTTTTTTTCTTTTCCTTTAATAGTTGTTGGAGTTGTCTTGTCTTGTGTTTTTTTTTTTTTATGATGGTTTAACATGTTTTGTCCTTTCAGAATTTTTCAACCAGGATGTATATATTTATGCAATGCCATCAAGATGTCCACGTTTGTAAGATAACCTTCTGAAATCCAGTGCAGAATTTTTATCTGATATAGTTGTACTAGTGGGATAATACTTACCCCTTAATAGTACTTGTTTCTCATTTGTTTGTCATAAAAATAAGAATCTTTGTCATTGGCTGCCATTGATTTAATAGGAAATCTTTGAAGCCTTGAATAGTTTTGGAAACCTCACCAATGGTCAGTGTATAAAATAGGAATTTTGGTTTCATTGACTGAAAATTTTGAACAGTTTCATGAAGTAAAACAGCAGGCAGTTACATGCAGGGTGAAAATTTGTAGTCTCCAAACAAAGATTACAAGTGTTCACAATCCACGCTGTGCACCAAGTGATTTCATTAACGTTGGTACATTGTTGATGGTCACTGATGTGTTAGATTACTTGTCTAACATTCTTAAACGCTGGTTTGATTCGTGTTCTCAATTTTTACACCACCTTCTCCAAGAGGTGCAGAATTCTGCAAGAAAATGTGCCACGTTGTTATTCACTTGATCAGCGTGCTTTGCTCAGTTGTTTCTGTTGAAGGAAATGAAACCAAAAATAAGCTATTTTTAGACCACAAAGGAAAATGAATGTTTAAAGTCTTTAATCTTAAACGTGGTCAGGTTGTGTTTATGCAGAATGCTCTCTGTACTCATGTGAAATTTCCTTTTCAAATGATTCAAACTATGCTTCATTTGGAAATTTTCTTCAGTTGGTGTCATAATTTGTTATTGCCCCTATTGGCATATACACAGACACAGACAGGTGTTGGGGACAATATGTTACCTGCTGAATTGATTCATGTTTTGTCTGTTGCAGAATTTTTAAGTTATTGTGTTAATCCTGAGCCAAACAGTTGCAAGTGTTGCAACTACGTTCTGAAACTTCGTTGCATTTTGTTGCCGTCAGCGGCATTCCAATTTCAGTTGTGTTGGATTCTGCTGCATTCAGCTGGCTGCTGCTCGGGAAGAACCCGCTTGAGGTTAGGCATAATGTACATGTATAACGTCATGTATTTTTGAACATCGTGCAACAGGGTAGCGAAAAGAATGTCTAAGAATTTTGCTTGAAGACGTGTAACTGCCCACACAAACTATCAAACAGTGGAGCCCTTCAGAGTACGGGATCATGTCAGCGGCATCAGGAATGTGACAGAAATGCCAACTGACAGACTGCCACATACCTTGGCTGTTGATGGAAAAAAGGGATGCAGATTTTAATTGTGTTAATTGAAAGGAATAGTGTTGAAAGGTCAGTGCTGCAAAGGGTTCAAGTTAACTCCGCGTGACATGGTAGTGGGAAAAGTCAAAGGGAAATTTGTAATCAGAGCTGCTTTAAACCATAAAGATAATCCTTGCTGGATGAGTAATTTGTATGTAATTCTTGCTGGAGAAATAGTTTGTACGTGTACAAACAATGAAATGAGCATGCGCAAAGAGGAAGAGCCTCGCTTTGGGGTATCTTAGCAACAGAAATATGCACTCATGGAAGGAGAGTGTTGGAACAGCTCCAGATTAGAATCCCTTATGTTTCCAAACTGCACGTGCGTAGAATTCAACTTATTCAACTTGTTGTGCCACAGTGATCCATTATCTGTCATGTCACTTCAATGCATTGCAGTTTAGGGTGGTTTTCACTTGCAGATCGGAGGAGGGGGGTTGCCTTCCCCCTACCCCGCAAAAGGAGCAAACGAATAAAATGTAATTGAAAAAAATTATTTGGGGCCTTTTTCAAGCCCGCTTCTTCCAAAATGTAAAATATCCCACAGTTCAGTCTCACCCCTCTGAAAGATCCTAAACAGTTACAGAAATTGGTTGTGGATCTGCTCGTGGCTGTTTTCCCTCCCCCCCACACACACCAACCCACTATTGTGGAAACACAATGGTGTCACCCTAAACATACATAACTTTAAGTTACTAGTCGGTCTACATGTTCTGGTATACGTGTGTATCATTGCCTGTGCTATAATTATGGCGCCCTCTTGTGAGATTCAATTAAATTCTTTGGTCTTTGTTCAGTTGTTACAGGGTTTTTTCTTCTTTGTGGTAAATGACAGCCACTTCTTAAAATTCAAGCAGCTAGCTAACAGTGCCATTCCAAATGGCATCACATGTTTTATCAAGCTGTTTAAATAAAAACCTTAATTGCGCTTAGTACATTGTTAAAGATTGTTGCCAGTGGAGGAAATACTGCAGTGTCCTCAATTAGTTGCTTTTTATGTTCAAAAGTAGTGAGTGCATATTTGTGTAGGAGGTATTTTGATTCCAATTTTAGATTATCCTGAGAAGTGACATAACTGAGAAAAAAAATGCTAAATTTGCAAGTTAAGTATTAAAAATGCTTCAAAACACCGCAAAATTTTAGGTGTTGGTCTTATAATGTATTCCTACCCATGAACTATTTTCACCATTTTAAATTTGATGGTCTACCAATCAAATTATTTACAGATACACATGCATGTGCGTTGTTACATGTCCAAGTGTTTAGGAGGTTTGTAAGCCAGATCAGATTTATATTTGGAAAGACAGGACGCACGACACTTTCTCAGTCATGAAAAAAGTTCATCGTTTCACTGAATGTCATCTCTCTTTTGAGTTTAGTAGCAGTGGAGCAACTGCTAGAGGGGGTTTTATATCCCCCCCTCCAAGGTTTTTTTTCTGTCCGAAAAACAAAAATGCAGAATGCATCTATAAAGGTAGCATCAGATGTTGCTTCGTGGTAGATCCCTGTCCAACCCTTTTTCCACAAGAAGTCCTGGCTGTGCAACAGGGGTCGTATTTCAAAAAAGAACCATTCCAAAAAAAGAAGACGAAATCATTACTCTTTACTTGGAAGCTTTTTTATTGTTGGGACATTCAGTTGGATGGTGTGTTTGCATTAAAACAGTTGAAAAGAGGTAATAATTGCCTTTGTGGAAATCAGATTTAAACAAATGAATTTAGAAAGTACTAAATTTGGGAGGAAAATATTTTACCCCATTTTTTCTAATTGTACAGCATTAATTTTATTCTTTCATTGCTGTTACGTACGTGATCTCTGGTATCATGTTACAGTACTTGTTATAACGAAGTTCTGTTTTGATTGTATATTTTGACAAAGAGAAATGTGAAATTCTAATTTTACATTCATCCCGTCGCAAAGTGGAAACTTCACTTGGTTTGTTGATGGTAGTATTTTTGTGCATTAGCTCTCCCGTTTAATGGAAACGAAATAACATGCGAAAGAGCTGGACACTCAAGGCAGTGCCAATTTATTTGGAAATAAAGTCTGAACGACCTATGATCAGTCATCTGCATGTCTGTTTTTATTCGAGGACCCCCCTTCTCATTTTTATTTTTAAACCCTACCCATTATTAGTTGAAAATGGTTGGAAATTAAATATGGCATGGAGACTAACAATACCTATATATAAAATAGTAGTTGTCGAATTTTTTCGAACCATTTTTGTTGATTTTTGGAAACGGCTGCAAATGTCCAGAAAAGTCCACGTATAATTTTTGTTTGATTTCCTCAAATGCTAGGATTCTGACAATTGTACTGTCTCATTGTGCTTTCGAAAGCAGCTTGTCAACATTTGCCTAGTGCAGTTTTTGTTTTGTTTTTACAAAGCAACAGGCCCGCGCAAATTGTAGTTTTATGTGTCAAAAACAAGAGGAATTCATTCCATTTTAAAAACTTTCTGAAGGTTTCCGAAATTTTGTGAATCGTTAATTTTGTGTTGCGTCATCAATACCCGTGAATATCTGTCGTATATCAAAATTGGTTTTCTTTCCAGACTCTCCAACATTTATCACAATTTTCTAAAAAGTCCATCAGTTTTTCCTTGCAATACTATTTTTATGCTGATTTCCAGCTATGTACAATTTTGTAGTAAAGTTGTCTTCCGTCAATTTTATTATTGGTACATGCACGGCTGGATGCTACAGTCGGGCGGATTGTTACTGATGTACAAATCATAACACAGTCTTTTTGTTATAACAAACGCTTTAATTTTTTTCATTCTTTTAATTGATTTATTGTTTTTTCTCTTTTTGATGACTGAGCAGGGAGGGGGGCGACCTTCAATTTCGGCCTCCTAATCCGGGCAGCGTGTTTTTGTTATTACACAAACATTTTTGGATAATTTCCTTTGTTTCACTGCCATTCTTGAAAAAGAGATTATTCTTCACGCTTCGTGGAAGCTTCTGTTGTTGAAATGCCGAAAGGTACTCCTTTTGAAAAAAAAAAAGTCCTCCAAAGCCACGGTTACAACGTTTATTCCGCTTGTGTTTCCCCAGCGTGTTGTGTAAAAAAAGTGAAAAAAAAAATCTCTTCCCGCGTTACGTCGTTCACTTGCATGAGTCATGTTCTATTTTGACCTATATAGTGAAAATAATACGTCTGATAACCAGACTACTTGAAATAGTTGCTCAGGTAACTACATGTATTTCAGGTAGTCTGGTTCTGGGTAAAAGGGGGAATCCCCGAAGCGTAGTGGCGGGTATAATAGATGTCCAGCATGCATAGACGGTGACTCAGTGGGTTAAAGGCAATTTATTACTAGTGTCATGGAAGCAACGTGGGGTGCTTGCATCACACAGCTAAAAAGATGTCGGGAAACGGTCGTGTCGTATTGAATTTAAACCCACTGTTAGAAGGTATGTTAGCAAGAATTTTGTGATCTCCGATGTGAGGGTAATTGGTTGGCGTATACTAAATAGTGTTATTGTTCGGATGTAACTTCGCAATCCCCTTCATATGATCTGATCTCCATACATGCAAAGCGGCGACCATGTGCCAGCTAGCGAAGTGGTCTTGGGAAGCACCGCTGTACTGGGTTAAATCGTTAACAAAATGGACACGAGATTTTCGAAAGAACTCTAGCCCCAGCGACAACTAGATAAGTAAAAGCGTCAAAGGCAACCCAAAAACAATCAGAGCCGACAAAAACGACCGCCAGAGCTCTTTTCAGAAAACAATTTTTTTCTACCACCCCCGTGGGCGTAATAAGTGTTAGCGTAAATCTTAACGACGCGTGCATCAGATGGACGTGTTGTGTCTACCTTAGGACCGTCAGACGGAAGAAACATTGGCCTAACTAATTACGCATTTGTACGGGTAGCCCCGAACCGCCGATAACCTCCGAGTCCCATGGTATGTGTTTCCCAAGTTCCCCGATTGGTTTCTGTTTTCCCCAGCAATTATCTGCAGTGTGTGCTGCATGCTGAAGGGCCATTGGGTCCTCCTCTGTTTCTCCTTCTCTATACCTATGTATTTGGCAAAACATCAGTCCCATCAAGGGTACGTCATTTGCAGATGGGTGTCTGAATTCCAATATCGCTCGATGTAGTGAGAAGCAAAGTTATCCTAAGCGATTTAGCAAAGGCGACAAATTCAGCAAGCAGTTTGAAGATGACACTCAGGACAATTAGATGCCAACCACTGCGAATCGGCACAAGTAGCTTTGCACTGGAAAGGACGGATCGAACAATCTTAAGAATATATCCATTGTAAACCAAACAAACAAAATAATAAACAATCACACTAGGAAACCTATTGCAAAACTGTAATGTGTGGAAAATGTGATACATATTATGTATATAAAATAAAACGTGATTTCTTTTCTGTATACAGTATATTCAGTCACTGTACTATTCATCGGAATGCAGGCAGCCTTTTCCATCTTTAACTGCATAGTCAAAAAGCAAGTTTCTTGCTGGGTAAGCTTTATTCCCGTGTTTGAATCTTTGTATTTGGACCCAACCCTTTTCTCCTTAAAACTTGCGAATTGCATAGATATTTCAATAAATCCAAGATTCAACTAGACTCCCATTCACCTTTGATGGAAATGTCGGAACTGCTTTGCTCAGAGACATGTAGAAACATCATCATTTCCCTGACAGATTGCACCAATGCCCTACCTGCGGCCGGATATAAATCTGGCATGGTGTCCAACGAGAAAACAAGGTGGTGCACGAATCCTTTGGGATCAGGAAAGTTTCGTTCTGTGGACAAGGAGAAAGAAGACGGAACTCGTGCCAATATGTTTTACGTCAGTATGAACTAAATTCATGAATATAATTCGTGTCAGCATATGCTTTTACCTCTTCAATTCAACAGGACGAGCGAAACCTCAGGTCCGTGATCGCAACGTTTCTTCTTCTTTGCTTGATCGTGTACTCGGTGCACCGCTTCTTCTTTGGTCACCTGATTCTGCAAAGGTGACCGTGACTACAGTTTTTGCTGTAGGAAGTATCCAAGGCTGATTCAAACAACCGTAGAGTGTCATTTTGTCTTATTTGTCAGGTTTTAGTTTCAAAGTAAGATGTGGTGAAAAGAAACAAATATGATCCAACTTGTTTGTTTTGGCAGATCAAAAGAATGTTTTTCCAATCACCGTGAAGAACCTTTAACAGCTTTATTTCGGGTTGAATTATAGTTTGTACGTTTTACAACTGATTCTTCATTCTGGTTTTCAGTTTGTCATTCACAACTTACAGCTTCGATGAACTGAGCTTATGGACTGTGTTCGTTGTGGTCTATGCCATCGGAATTACGGATTATGTCATCTCATACGTCGCCATGGCAACCAAGTGCGTGGTCATCGCTCTTCCAAGAGCTTGCCTGAGCTTCGAAAGAAGAGTAAGATATTGAAGTCTCGATTTGACGTTTAGAGCACTTTCTTGACGGACACGTTTAAATTTGGTCTCTCCCGTTTGATATTAGATCTAAAATGCTTGCCCGTAAAGCTTGTTGCTTCCTGCCCTTTTTGTTCACCATTCGCCTTGGCAAAGCGTAATTAACAATTGCACTGTGAAAATAAATGTTAATGTTTTAACGTCTTCCTGGTTACACTTATTGCACCTGTCGTGGTTTCGATTATCCAAAGCTAAACACGTTGTGATGATGCGTTCACAAAGCTAGACACAAAGACACATTTGGGTGTTAAATAACAAGACACAATAACACGTTTGTCGGGTGGTAGCACTTTCTGAACACTGAAACATCACTTTTATTTCCAAAAAAAGGTGTTTAATTTTATGAGGTTACAGGTTTAAAATTAATGCTAAGACACGTTTACAATGGAAGTTGGGTTTTCACATACAGAGAATTATTATATACACCAAGCTGGACTATTGAGGTCTGGCGGACACAATGGGGCGTCATGGGTAATCATTCATACTCCAAATTCATTCACTGCAGGGTCGATTCTTCCAGTTCATTGAAAGTCTTTATCAGCTCTACCAGTTTTTGATCCCCCTTCCTCTCTGGATATCATTTGTATCAGACAGCACCGGCTTGTACTGGTTTATCGGTGGTGTGTTGGGCTCATTGTATGTCATTTGGAAGGTAAAATTTCACATTTTGAATAAGGCTTGAGCTAATAAATTGAACTGATGAATTGCAGTGATATATTAGATGACGGAATCGAATGGCTTTGAGATGAAAAATTATATTTTAAGAACGTCCACGCGTGGACTAACATCTTATTTGGGGTTCACGTGCATTACTCATTCAGTTAAAACAGTCCTCTTTATTTCTTGTGATATAACAGCTCTTCGAGACGTATCACAAGCTTTGCAAGTGTAAAGCTTTTTTTAAAAGTATCTTGCAACATTCGGTAAGTGTTGTTTGTTATATCCTTGCATTTTGCACTGAATGGTACCAAGCTGTTTCCGAAAGTTGTTCAGAAAAATGTTAACGATCACTCGTTTTACACGATAGCAGACAGAGTATTTTCACCCTGACTTTTGGAAATGCTTCAGCGAACATTATTGATACAGCATTTTGCTTATAGAAAAGACTTTTTAGGTCCCGATCCTTTTGTTTTTCATGGTTTCATTCCTGATAATACAAGGTTCCTGTTATAACAAGGTAATTTGCCCAGTCCAAACAACCTCTTATTTTCGAGATTCGACTGTACTCTAAAGACCTGTGTTATTCTTGGAAAAATTAACGAACCTTATTCAGTGAGTGCTTAGTAACATTTAAGTCATAAATTTGCCCTTCTAAGCGCCTTGAAGGTAGCCTTGGGGTGCACTGCTCCATACCAAAGACACGAGGTACGTACAAGTTACAGTATACCTCTTAAACATTCCTTTTAACTTGATATTGTAACTGTTGTCTCCAAACTTGAAGTTCGAACTCAACTAGAAACTTTCTTTCTTATTTGTCAGCCTTACGGTAGTCGGCCTAGTTACGAGCGTATGCAAGAAGAACAGACGTGTCCCATATGCCTAGATAACTTCAGTAATCCAGTTGAGATACCCTGCATGGTAAACCACGTACCTAAAACAGAACCATCTGAAAAACCTTACAGTGATTTGTTTGCATGAGGAAGACTTTAGTTGTATTTCAGTGTAATAAATATGGCCAAGCTCAGCATTGGTAATAATGCTAGAGTGCAAGCACATGCGCTTTCCAATAGCATTATGCAACGGACATTACCGATTCATGTTAAACGCGACGCAGCACTTTATTACACAAAATACATCAGGTGCCTGAGATGACATGGTGGCCCTGGAGGGACATCGCCATCGTCAATGTTGACTTCAATGTTTGCGACCAAATTCACGACTCCTATCTGCGGTCGCAAATATTGCCGCATATTTTTTCCAGTAAGTTGTTATTCGGCTGGGCATGTTGCGTTGATTGGCTACCTTTCAATTTCTATGGTAATGCATTGTTAACTTTGAGTGCACAAGGAGAAACGCAAAATGACTACCCCTTTTTCAGAAATGCTATCAGTGAACAAAATAGTGGGTTCACAATTTGAGTAGAAGGATCTATAAAATTAGCAATGTCTTCCAAGACTGACATCACAGCGACAGCGTCTCCTGTTGTCCGGAAAAGCATGGACAATTTTTTAAATGGTTTTTAAATGCATTTTTCAATACCTACATGTGCTAAGAACTTGTCAAACTGTTTTCATATATTGAACAAGAGTATAAAGTTGCACAAAAAGTGTCTCAAGAAGCTTCATCGCGTGGACCCGTTCAAGTAGTTTTCATCCATTTTGCGAAACAGAAAATGTTCTGCTTTTGTGATAAAGTTACAAGTTCTTTAGTAAGGAGGACATAAACTGATAAAGGTGTATTGCTTGTCTGTTTGTTTGTTTGTTTGTTTTTTTCGGCAGCACATCTTCTGTGAGGAGTGTGTGACCAGATGGTTTGACACCGGTAAAAACACCTGTCCGATTTGCATGGCCAGGGTTGCATACAGTCGCGAGTGGCGGGATGGTTCCACATCCAACAACTTTCCCTGGTTCTGATATCTGGCTTGCTGACCTTACACGATAACAGATGAACAAAGGAAGGAATTTTGTTTCCTGTCTTTTTATAAAAAATGAAAGATTTCTTAGAATGCGTTCACAGGCGCGCACACAAAGACTGTATAAAAACAAATACACACGACACTGAATAAAGAACAGCCAACACTGAGACGGTGAGATGGGATGTAGAAAGGGGAGGGTCGGGGAGGGGGAGGTGGGGAGAAAACTAAAAATGGGACCATGGGGAGTGAAAAAGAAAAGGAAGGAGAGGTCTGTAGGTAAGGAAAGTAATGTGCACAGGCCTAAGGAAGGGAAGGCTGGGGGGGTAGGGAGGGCTTTGAGAGGAAGGAAGGGGTGGGAAGAACCAAGGACAGAAAAGGGATGGTAGAGGCCAGAGAAAAGGAAGGGGACGGGGCCTCGGCGGAAAGGAAAGAGGAAAGTGGGGAATAAAACTCAAATCCAACAATCTCAAGACATTGCGACTTAACTGCTGTTCTTGGAAGGCATTGAGCGAATTTGCCCCAAACACATCGCACATCCCATATAACGGCGGTTGTGGGTGGACGAAATTCTGGAGACAAAACCCTGCTTAGTCGCCTTAACATGGCCCCGAAGTTAAGACACACTAGATTTGGTTGCTACTAGTAGCAGTCTCAGTTTGATGAACAAGAATAGATATATAATTAAAAAGGTAAGAAAAAGAAATTGTGGATGTGTTTGTATGAATATGTTTGCACAAAACTTGTGAAGGCAGAGTTTTGTATATTGCTTGAGGTATCAGCTGAGAATTCATCAGGACACTATAGAAAAATTTAAGGTGCCAGGTGTGGACTGCTTCAATACATTTAGAATATATCTTAGGATACAGCAGGAGAACTGGGGAAGGAACTCTCCCCTCCCCCATCTCGCTTGTACAAATATTTCGACGTCTAGAGACTAGGTAACGAATGGGAACCAGTCTAGCACATTTGTTAAAGGAACCTTTCCATAGACATTTTCTCGGGGTGTCATGTACACGTACATGTATGCGGAAGTGGCAGAGAGTGTTCATGTACACAGTAAATGGTGCGGAACATGTAGGCTCCCAACACCTAATGAGTACCTGGCTAACGACACTTGGTGATGACAAACACCGGTCTTTTTTATCCACAGACATAATTATAAACGCATGACCGGAAGAGCGCATTCCAAACCGTCATGGACATTCTGTGATCTGTGCGGCACCCGATGGGCAAATTAACATTGCGCTATGGTCTTCAAACTGGACAAAGACACAAATGCATGAAGCAAGATATGGGACGGAGAGCGCCCCCTCCCCATTTTTATGTTGGTTATTGTTTGATCGGAATCGCATGAATTCTTCACAGACAGAGTGTGTATAGGTATTGGACATGTAAAGGGGGTACCCCTCCGTCCCATATCTTGTTGGGTAGAACGAAATGCATGAGTAGACTGGTTCCCGTTCCGTACGTAGTCTCCAGACGTCGTACAGACGTCCTGCGAACTTATACATGTATGTACTGTACAATCGGCAGAATCCTGCATGGTGTATGTAAAATGAGGAAACGATGCCCACTCAATGAACAAATCAAGCAGGAGCTGATAGTGTTTTTTTAACGTGATCTAAAATTTACCACTGATTGGAAATAAATGGCCTTAAAATGATTTATTGACGATAATCATTGAAAATAAATCACCACACTGTGGTTAATAGAGACTTGGCAAGGACAGGTACTTGTGTTTTATTCGCCTCCCCGCTGAAACGTATTTCATGTTAAAACATTGGTGGCCTGACAAAAACTTAAATTTCAGCATCCAAATTGACAGGGCAAATCGCACAGTACGGGACCAGTCCAGGGTAGCCGCGTTATTACGGTTCCCTCCATGCCGTTCGCGATCTTAACCCCTGGTATTATACAAGTTGGTGAGTTCATTCGGTTGCCACGTGTAAGTCAAACTTCTACGCACGTATATTCACCTCTTTCCACTTAGTTTGTGCGCATGCGCTGAAATTCGGCAATGTCGTGATCACGTTCTGTTGCTTATTAAAATGGCGAGGCCAGCTAGCAAACAACTGTACCAAAATCATCTGCAGAGATCTTCCGCATTGTGTAAAAGCTTGCTGAAATTATACCAGAGAAATCAGGCTTCAGATTTCATTTTGTGAAGTGTTTCTTGTTAATCATAAGTGACATATGGCTCTGTTTAAACTGTCTGGTATAATCGAGATCAATGGTCGTTACAACGGAGCCTTACGGGGACAGACAGAATGAGGATTTTTTATTTCGTTCCCTCAAAT